AAGTAAGGGTTATGTGTGACATTCTCCCTCGGGGGTGCTTTCTTCTCTCCCTTTCTGTCTGTCTTGGTTTCTATCTGACAAGTGCATTCACCTACTAATCAAAAAAATATACATATATATACTTTTCTTTGGTTTAGTTTTTGCTACATGGCACATGTGCTCACTAGGGGAAGAGAAGGAACAGAGAACAAAATAATGAAAAAGCATATTCTGAGTGGCCAAGCTGCACACCCTTCTCCATTCTCTTCTTGAGATTTTGGGCACACACACACACACACACACACACATATTTCTCAAGCCTCAGGTCCAGGACTCAAACTGCACATTTGGTCATGTGGAAGGCAGTGACCACAACCTCCAGGCCACCTGCTGGCCCAACTTGTTCCCATTGGAAATGCTATTTTGAGTTTTAATTAATTTTCATAAAGGATGCACATAAATAATGTACATATTTGAATGAGTTCAGGAGTATGCATGCCTTTATATAAAAGTCACCATTATACAAAAAAAAGTATATAACCTAAACCTATCCATCCATCTGGTGCCCTTTTTAAAGTACGAAGATTAGCTTCAAAGCAGCACAAACCATATAAAAATCTATAGCATTTCTGTAAACAAATAATGAACAGACTGAGGCACAGTTGAAGAATCAATACCATTACAATCACAAGAAAAAAATACAAGATATGGGACCAGCAGTTGGCGTAATGGCTATGTCGCTGGACTCCCATGTAGTCGACCGTGGTTCGAGTCCCAGACCGGGTGGCTTAAAACTCACACTGGGTGCGTGTGCGTACATGCCCAAGATCCCGAGAGGAGAATGAAGAAGAAGGAATTGTGGCGTGGCCATCTTCCCCTGGGTGGTGATTTCTCACTTTCTGTCTTTCTGTCTCTCTCTGTCTGTCTGGCAAGCACACGCTCCTAAAGCATGAACCTCTCCAAAAATAAATAAATAAATAAATAGATAGATAGATAAATGATACATAGAAATAAACCTCACCAGAGAAGTAAAAGAACTCTACAAGGGAAATGATAAAATACTAAAAGGACAAATTGAAAATGACACAAAAATTGAAAAGACAGCCCATGTACCTGGATCAGAAAAATTAATATAATCAAAATGTCAATTCTACCCTAATTAATCCACATATTTAGTAAAATCACACTTGGGAACCAGCAGTTAGCGTAATGGCTATGTCGCTGGACTCCCACGTAGTCGACCACCGTTCGGGTCCTGGACCTGGTGGCTTAAAACTCACGCCGGGTGCGTGTACGTGCGTGCCCAAGATCCCGAGAGGACAATGGAGGAGAAGGGATTGCAGCATGACCATCCCCTCTGGGGGGTGATTTCTTGCTTTGTCTCTCTATGTCTCTCTCTGTCTGTCTGGTGAGCGCACACGCCCTATAGCAAAAACCTCTCCAAAAAACAAAATCACAATCAAATTTCTGAAGACATTCTTCACAGATTCAGCAATAATAGAATTTGTCTGCAATAATGAAGAACCCCTTTTGTCAAAGCAATACTGCACAAAAAGAGTGGAGTAGATGGATGGCATCTCTCTTCATGACCCCAAAATATATTACAAAGCTGTGATAATCAAAACACCATGACACCAAAACAGATTTTATTAGTCTGGATTTTATCAATCTCTGCACAACCCTCTGGGATATATCCTATAATTTATCTGATAAGACTGAATTACTTCCCCTTGTTTTCATGAAGAAATCTCTATTTCACATAAGCAATGATATAGTGACCACCAAAATCAAACTGAGCCTCCATCAAAAAAAGTAACACAAACACATGAAGGATAGAGAGGTGGAAATAGAAGGATTACTGATAGGTATCCACCTTCCAGCTCTACATTAAATGCACTCCTAATTTACTTTGAGTATGCATGTGTCAGGTTTTTTTTTTCCTTAAAATCTAAATTTTCTTTTTTAAAATGTATTTTCTACATTAAATCTCTGTGTATCATTAATTTCTAAATTGTTTCTCTCATCCAGCTTCATCCATTTCTGAGAAAAAGCCAACTTACACATAATACTAGATACGACATGCCTCTAGGAAAAGAAAGAAGCCATACAGCACAGTATATCTACAACTTAGTGAGGTTTCCTAATGACAATTTCACCAACTGGCTGCTGGTTAAAGTAGGAGACTTTGTTTACAGGAACCCCCACGATCAAGACTTGATCATCAATGAAGAGATGATAAGATGGCCTATTAGTTTCAAAGAGGTACAATGTCTTTTCTACATTACATTTATACAGAGTTATTTGAATAGTCTTGAAGTGAAATTGTGTGACTACAAATCAGGATTAGGTTAACCTTTTATATCTTGACTTTGCACGATGTGATTTTGCTTTAATATATCTTACACTGTAAATATAACAAGAACAGGTTTACATAAACTGCCATTTTTAATTTAGGTATATTTATTCAAAGCAGCAGTCCAATGAAGAAAATCAACAAGTTTATTAATTAATCAACCATTACTTTTTTTTTTTTGGAGAGGTTTTCGCTATAGGGCACATGCGCTCGCCAGACATACAGAGAGAGACAGAGAGACAGAAAGTGAGAAATCCCCCCCAGGGGGGATGGCCACACGGCAATCCCTTCTCCTCCATTCTCCTCTTGGGATCTTGGGCACACATGCACATGCACCCAGCATGAGTTTTAAGCCACCGGGTCCAGGACGTGAACCGCGGTCGACTATGTGGGAGTCCAGCGACATAGCCATTATGCTAACTGCTGGTCCCTCAATCGTTACTTAATGAGAGAAATATGTTCTAGGAAATGAATCATTAGAGGGAACCAGCAGTTAGCATAATGGCTATGTCGCTGGACTCCCACATAGT